CCTAAGGCACCTTGATACTCAATTTGAAAAAGTTCCAAAAAATAGCAAACATGATATTGATATTGATTAGCACACACAGAGACACACACCCCCTTTTTAAGTTTTTTGAGACAGGGCTTCTTGGTGCAACCCTGACTGTCCTGTAGACCAGCCTAGCCTGGAGCTCAGAGATCCTCCTGCCTCTGCCTCCTAAACAAGCACTAGAACTAAAGGCATGCACCACCACCCAGCCAGTCAGAGCACTTCTATTAAAGAATAAAGCTTGTAGCTAAGAAGATGGCTCAGTCAGGAAGGTGCCTGCCACACAAGTACCCATCTTAAAAAAAAAAAAAAAAAACAGGCATGGTGGCATGTGTCTGCAGTCCGAGGACTGGAGAGGCCTGGTCAAATCAGTGAGCCCCAGATAAAAGTGAGAGATCCTGTCTCAAAAGAACAACATGGATGATGTCCTGAGAAATGGCACCCAAAGTTGGCCTGTCATTCATTCACATACTCACACATGTGCACATCCCCACATACATTGGCATGCATAAATATGTACACATACATGCATACATACATACAAAACAAAAAGACACCTTTATATTACTCAATCAATATGTGAGGAAGGCAGTGTGGTTTACAATGTCCCTGCTCAAGAATTAGATTGTGAACTTGCTTCCAGTACACACAGAAGGATCTAGCTTCTTCTGAATGCTGCCAACATTTGCTCACCATCCCACATCTACCTTTGCCAGGGGGTTTGCAGGACCCTACTATGACACTAGACATCCAGGACTTTGGAAATTTGGGGGCATTCATTTCCAATAAGTTTCAGGTACTTATAGCAAGGGAAGTCAAAGTTATTCTTGCTGTTGACATAAGAGGCACTGCCAATTCTAGCTCTGCAAAAATCCTTCTCATGAGCTAAATTTCCTATACTCAGCCTCTTTAATGACACTACTTTGGTTAATATGAAGTCACAGATGGACTCCTTCTATATGACGAGCTTACATGTGTCACACTGGTCTCTATAACTCAGTGATGCTAATCTAGACCAACCCTCATTTACCATGCAATGGTTTAAAGTCTGAAAGCAAACCTCAGGGACAGGGGTGGTGGTTCTCTCTCGCGCTCTCTCTCTCTAGTTCTAGGGATTGAACCCCAAAGTTCACACATGCTAAGCAAGTGTCTGCACCTCCAAGCCCTGACAAAGACAATTTGAAGGATAATTATTCTTCTTCCAGAGTGACCACACTCCTAAATTAGTTCTCAAATTAGAGTTCTCTTTTTGTCTCTGACATACCTTCTGATTGAGATAGAACTCATACCATAAAATTCATCCTTTGAAAATGTACACTTTCTAGGGTTCAGTGTAGCCACAGCTCTGTAGCCATCACTACTGTGTAACGATAGAGCATTTGCATACCTCTATACTCTCAGACTGCTGACCCAGACAACAGCAGTCCATCCAAGGCATTTTTATATTGACCTGAAAACTTAGCAGTAACTCAGGGTAAAAGGTTGGATCGGTGGCCAGGACAGATGAACTATCACCAGCATCTATGTCTGAAAACAAAAGCAGCTGCAGGAAGCAAGGCCCAAGTGTCCTAGAAATGCACTGGCTTGCTCAGGACATTTCATAATAACATGCAGGGGCCCAAGGAAAGCAGAAATTAAAAACAGGATCACGATGGCGATGCCCTCGACTCCAGGTCCCCTCCTGCACACCTGCTGGGCCTCATATTGGTCACGGTCATGAGGTCAGGTGCCCTCGGCTCCAGGTCCCCTCCTGCACACCTGCTGGGCCTCATATTGGTCACGGCCATGAGGTCAGGTGCCCTCGGCTCCAGGTCCCCTCTTACACACCTGCTGGGCCTCATCTTGGTCACAGCACTCAACTCCTCTGAGCTTCCGCTCCCTTACTTGCAGATTTTGGTAGCACTAGGGATTATTGTTGAAATTCCTCCCAGCTCTGATGATTGTGTGATATACTTAAAAGCATGATCTCACCAGGTGGTAGTGTTGCATGCCTTTAATTCTAGCACTCTCAGAGGCAGAGGCAGGTGGATCTCTGAATTGAAGACCAGCCTAGTCTACAGAGTGAGTTCCCGGACAGCCAAGGCTGCACAGAAAAATCTTGTCTCCAAAAAAAAAGAAGAAGGAGGAGGAGGAGGAGGAGGAGAAGAAGAAGAAAAAGAAAAAAAGCATAATCTCTTAGCTGAAGGACAAACAGATCTCGATAGACTGGAAAAATACACACACACACACACACACACACACACACACACACACACAAATCCACTGAGACTAACTCAGGGATAAATGAACAGGGAGGCTGGGAGATCCTATGAGTGGAACTTTCCATCTGAGAGGCAAGAGGCACCCTAAACATCTGTAAGGCCCAAAGCATGAAGAGAGGTGGCTGAGAAGACAGACAACAAATGACACAGATGAACAAAGCACTTAGTACTGACAGGTTAGGGGGAGAAGCGGTGTTTTCAAAGCGTGACAATGGTGAGGATATTCTGCAGTGTCCTAGGTAGCGTTGCCATTGCTGTGATAGACACCATGGCCAAAAGCAAGTCCCTCTAAAACTCATGCTCAAGAACAACCTACCTTGTGCAGTAAAAGGAGGATTTTTAAACAGTGATGAGAAGTGGGGTCCCTGAGAGACGAGCTATGGTGAAATGGGGTAATGGGGTGACACCGCCCACCACAGGTTAACACTGCCTGACTTAGTTAGTTGTTTGTTTGTTTCCTTTCTTTCTTTCTTTTTTTTTTAATTTCCGAGACAGGGTTTCTCTGCATAACAGCTCTGGCTGTCCTAGAACTCAATTTGTAGAGCAGACTGGCCTCCGATTCGTAGAGATCCACCTGCCTCTGTCCCTGGGTGCTGGGATTAAAGGTGTGCACCCCCACCACCGGTTGAAATGAAAGCATTCTAAAGTAACATCATTGTAATAGAATTCTTATCATATGTGGGTGTGGAGGCTCACTGAGCCTCTTTACTTCTCTTCCCAACAGGGCTGCACCAATTCCGTCCCCTTCCTCGGCCTGGTGCTCTTATCCTCTTAACTAGTCCACTGATGGCTGGGCTGCAGGGGCCCAGCCCTGACCCTAGAAACCCAGTGACCCAACAAGAAACAAGTGGCCCTGTGACCCGGACCAGAACTGGAACCAAAATACCTCTTTTTACAAGATAATTTACCCTTGGGGGTTGGAGAGATGGTGCAGAAGTTAAGAGCACTGGCTGCTCTTCCAGAGGTCCTGAGTTCAATTCCCAGCATCCACACGGTGGCTAACAACCATCTGTAATGAGATCTGGAGACTTCTTCTGGCCTGCAGGCATATATGCAGGCAAAACACTGTATATATAATAAATAAATAAATATTTTTTAAAAAAGATAATTTGCCCAGTCTGTGGGTTTGTGTTACTAGCAGTAGAAAACAGCTAACAGTACTTCAAAACCTTCCACGGTAAAAAACAAACTGCATCGGGGCTGGAAAGATGTCTCAGTGGTTAAGAGCATTGCCTGCTCTTCCAAAGGTCCTGAGTTCAATTCCCGGCAACCACATGGTGGCTTACAACCATCTGTAAAGAAGTCTGGTGCCCTCTTCTGGCCCACAGACATACACATAGGCAGAATATTGTATATATAATAAATAAATATTTTTTTTAAAAAAAAACTGCGTGACAAAGCAGAGCATTTGGGGAAATTCCTAAACCTGAAAATCAACCTCAGAGCAGCCAACGCAACAACGTAAAGATAATTTGAGAACCAACTCTTTACTCCAGCATTAAAAAGATTGGGTGGCAACTATGATAAGAAATTATATTAAAATGATGCTGTCAGGGAGAGCAGGTGGGACTCTACAGTTACACTGGCAACCAAGTCTGATTAGCTGAATTTGGTCCCCAGAAGCTACATGCTGAGAACCTCCTGCTACTGAGCGTGCTCTCTGACTGCGACACACAGTGAAAAACACACAAATGCACACACACACACGCATGCAGGTGCACACACACATACACATAGGCACAAACACACACACATACACACAAACATACATACACAAAATATGAAGGTACATTTTAAATGATACTAACTAGAAATAGAATGAATTTGAACTGTTTCACCAAATACTTTAAAACTAGCACAGAAGAACAGCTCTGGGTAGCCAGGGAAGAGATCTCAGGAGAGAGCAAACAAAACAAGTGACAGCTCAGGCCGCACTGCACTCCCTCCCTCCCTCTCTCCCTCTCCTCCATCCCTTCTTCCCTCCCTCCCTCTCTCTCTCACTCTCTCTCTCCCTCTCTCCCTCTCTCTCCTATCCTTCTCCCTATCTCTCCCTCTCTCCCTCTCTTTCCCTTTCCTTCTCTCTCTCCCTCTCCCTCTGTTCCTCTCTCTCTTCCTTCCTCCCTCCCTCCCTCCCTCTCTTCTTCCTTCCACCCCCTCTCTCACACACACACATTTTATTCAGCCATAAAGAAAACTATTATGTCAAATGGACAGAACTAGAGATCACCATATCACATTTTTTTCTCACATGTGGATTTCAGACATAAAGCATATAAACCACACACGTGACATGAAAGCATGAACGAGGTAGACTATCTGGGGAAGAGGAGACAGTGGAAGTGGAACTGCAGCAGGGTGCGGTCATTAGTACAGGACAGTAATATCTTTGTATGTGTCATAACAGAACCTACCATTCTGTAGGCTAATTAAAATTTTCAAAGTTCAAAATATAAGGTAAAACTTTTTTAAAAAACTAAATAGGGATAAGAATAAACTCATGGGCAATAAATCCACAATGAATTATTTCTTCCTCTTCCTGTTTTGTGGTGATGGACCCAGGGCCCTATACGTGCTAGGGAAGTATTCCACCATTGAGTCACTCTGCTCCCACCTATGGACCATTCCCAAACTCATATCTGTTACACAAAGTCTTCAGAGATACAGCAGGCTCCGAGCCCTGAGTGAACAGGGACTGTAAGCGAACAACAGAGTGCTTACCTGTGGGATGAGACGCCGCTGCCAGGAGTGCCACACTGGAAAACAAAACAAAGTGCAGCAAAGCAAGCGAGAACACTTTCTCAAGCACACACATTTCCTGTGGCCAAGAGGGCTCCCGGCCTCCTTCATCTGTCACTCCCCTTGACCCTGGCTGGCCTATTACAATGCTCATTTAATTTACAACGATTATTTGAAAGCTAAACAAAGCAAGTTCCAAACTACAAATAAGCTGCAATCTAAAAGCGAACTGTTGAGTGTGAGCTAAGGATATTTTTGTCATAAGATGAGCTGTGTAGCCAAGCACTGAGCCGAGCTCTGGGAGTCCACTTGAAGAAAGGAAGGAGGAATTTTACAGTCAGGGGCTGGGGTCAAGATCATGACAGGAAACCCACAGAGACAGCTGACCTGAACTAGTGGGAACACATGAACTCTGAACCGACAGCTAGGGAGTCGGCATGGGACTGACCTAGGCCCTCTGTATGAGGGTGACAGTTGTGTAGCTTGGGTCCCATTGGGGCCCCTAGCAATGGGATCAGCGCCTGTCCCTGGCGCTTAAACTGGCTTTTGGGGACTTAGTCCTCATGCTGGGATACCTTGCCCAGCCTTGATGCGGCGGGGCGGGGGGGGGGGGGGGGTGTTGGTCCTTCCTCAATGAGATATGTCATGCTTTCTTTTTTTTTTATTCATTTTATTGAGTTCTACATTTTTTCTGCTCCCCTCCCTGCCTCTCCCCTTCCCTTCAACCCTCTCCCATGGTCCCCATGCTCCTAGTTTACTCAGGAGATCTTGTCTTCTACTACTTTCCATGTAGATTAGATCCATGCATGTCTCTCTTAGCGGCCATGCTTTTTTGACTACCATAGGAGGCCTACCCCTTTCTGAACAGAGGAGGGAGGGGTGTGGGAGATAGATGGGAGGTAGGGGAAGGGAATGGGAAGAGAGGAGGGAGGGGAAACTGTGGTTGATATGTAAAATAAATGAAAAAATTTTGACCAAAAAAAAAAAAGATGAGCTGTGTAAAAACTAGTTAAATTTCCAACTGATTCATAAATGTATCCATCCATCCACTGCACGGTCGAAAACTCCCTAAGCAGATACTCAATAGAGCCAAGTGCTGAGGACATGAAGGAGGGCTTCTCTGGTGTGGGTCAATCTTGTATTACGTCATTTCTCTGGAAGCCTGTCCATCCCCCTGCACTCCTACTGCCCCTGAAGCCCAGCTGCAAAGGGCTGAATTCCCACCTTCTGCTGCTGCTGCGTTTAGCAAAATTCCCTGTCATCCAAGCAACTGATCTAGTTACAGGACAGGGATCAAATTTATTGCCTAAGCCAGGCAGTGGTGGCGCATGTCTTTAATCTCAGCACTCGGGAAGCAGAGGTAGATGGATCTCTGTGAGTTCAAGATCAACCTGGTCTATAGAGTGAGTTCCAGGACAGTCAGGGTTACACAGAGAAACCTTGTCTCAAAAAAGAAAAAAAAAAAAACCAACAAAGCAAACCTTGCTATATAAGTATAAGATTCGGGTTCCCACAGACAGGAAGGCTGTTCAGTCTACACCCTGGCTGTATCACAGAGTAGCCCAGCATCCTGGTTTATATCACGATCTTCAAGGATAGCATGTGGGCATTTCCGATTTTCCAGACTCTTCCTCTAAAGCACAGGGACACGCTGACCCCAGGGACTGGCTTCAGGATGCTAGCTAGCTAAGCCCCCGCTGATGAGCAGTATTTAAGCCTTATCTGTGCTCTTGATTGTTTTAATGGAATGTTCTCAGAACAGCGGGGTGGGAAGAGAGAAGACTCATGGAGGGATAAAGCCCTGGGGCCCATTATTCAAGAACCTATAGAAGGTAAGACAGGATTTATACATGGTCATAAATACACACATGAGCACATGCGTGCATGCACACACACAAACACACACACACACCACATAATAAACACTACAGAACTGGCAATGCCTAGTCCTCCGCATGGGCTCTGTACATCTCTTCACACTTTTTTTTTAAAGATTTATTTATTTATTATGTACACAGTGCTCTGTCTGCATGTATGCTTGTAGGCCAGGAGAGGGTACCAGGTCTCATTGTGGATGGTTGTGAGCCACCATGTGGTTGCTGGGAATTGAACTCAGGACCTCTGGAAGAACAACCAGTGCTCTTAACCTCTGAGCCATCTCTCCAGCCCCTCTTCACACTTTTTAAACGTACACCCCTCATTATTTTAACATGTAGATACTCTTTAGTCACACTTTCAGGAGTTATTGCTCCATAGCAGGATAACGGAACCCTTTTCCACCCCAAAGTGTCTCCTAAGACTTGCCATGGTACCTTAAATATGATCAGGATCACTCCATTCAGTTGAGTTGACTCTCTAAACCCTCTTTGCAATTCCACAAACTCAACCTTGTCCTACACTTGTGCTGTGCTCTCCGGGAAGCAGAATATATTTTACTCCTCTTGGGATTTCAAGCAACCAGGCATACAGCTGATTCTCAATATGGGTTCTGATGGACTCATATTGTATCTGTGGTAAGAATATGTCTAAAGAAAAATGTAACTTGAAACCCCTTAGAGTTCTAAGATTATAAATTACCTATGAAGGCTAAAGAGGAAAGTGTGCTAATATAAAAATTATGCTAGTATATAATACCTGATGAATAGCAGATCTTTTTAAAACCTACTCCTTGATAAGATATTTACTGAATGCCAGATGTGTGTTCGTGCGTTTGTAACTGTTGTCTGTGTGTGATGTGTCTGTGTGTGTGTGTGTGTGTATGTTTATCTCCGTCTGTTGTGTGTGTGTGATGTCTCTGTGTGTGTGTCTGGTGTGGGAGGTCCTTTTGTATATGTGTTACTTTTATTGGTTAATGAATAAAGAAGCTGCCTTGGCCTGTGATAGGGTAGAGCAGAACTAGGCGGGGGAGGGGAACTATACTGAATGCTGGGAGAAAAAAGGTAGAGTCAAGAGATGCCATGGAGCCAAAAGAGGGGAAAGACGCAAACTGCCAGCTGGAACCTTGCTGATAGGCAATGAGCCTCGCAGTAAAATATAAATTAATAGAAATGGGTTAAACTAAGATGTAAGAGATAGCCAATAAGAAGCTAGAGCTAATAGGCCAAGCAGTGATCTAAATAATATAATTTCTGTGTGATTATTTCAGGTCTAAGCAGCTGGGAATGAACAAGGGGCTCCCTCCAACCTCTGTCTCTCTGTATGTGCCCTGTGTGTGTCTCTATAAGTGCATGTGTGTATGTGTGTTACTACTGATTGAATCTAATGCTTCATATGCACACTAGGCAAGTACTCTACTGTTGAGCTATAACTTCAGCCCTATTTTTACTGTTGAGTTTTAGAGATAAAGTCTCACTAAGTTGCCCAGGCTACCCCTGAACTCACTTTGCAGTCCAGGACGGACACTAAACTTGGGATCACCCTGCCTCAGTGTCCTCAGTAGCTAAACATAGGCCTGAGCCATTGGGCCTGGCCAGGAACTGTCCTAGTAATAGAATGAAACAGTAAACAGGACAGAAAGCATCTCGGTGCTTACAGGACATTGACTGGGACGACCTAGGGGAACCGTGATCTCCAAACACTAGCCTGCATGTTTTCTTTCTCACTGAATCACTCCCCATTGACAGACTTGTGCATAATCTTACCTGAAGAGCAAAGAAGTAGAGAATATGTCAACAACGTTATAGTAATAATTTTATATTTTATGCATTGGGGGAACTCAAGATTATAAGGAATTTACAATACAAGGACACTCTCATCTACTACCTAAATTCTCCAAAATGCAGACAGACTAACCTGCATTTAGAAGCTTCAGTTATTTTCAGCTCTCTAGCCAATCTTTCCCTGTACTGTGGCCTTATTCATTCAACTGAACTGAAAAAAAAAAGTATTAGCCCTCTCCTTATTCCTACACTGTACCTTCTCAGGGAAGAACCATGTCTATTTACCTCCGGGCTGAAGCAGAGCAGTAGAAGGCATACAGCAGATGCTCACAGTGGGTTCTGATGCAGATAATCAGCTCTAGGTGTGTCGACAGTGGCAGCACATGGAGGAAACATCAGTGAGTCAGAGTCAGGAGCAAATTCACTCAGTGGAGGAGGAATATCTGCCCGAGACTGAGAATCTTACACCTATTGCATCTCCCAAAATACTGAGAGACCAAAACAAGTCTCTCCCTTGGTGGACAGTGCTCCACGCTTGCCTAGACAGGGACAACCCATAAATCCGAACAGAGTGCAGATTTCTGGATGCTGATTTTCCAGGATCAAGCAGCAGTGGCCAACTGAACAGTGGTTCTTGTTGGGTGTGAGGGCACACACCTTTAATCCCAGCAATCAGGAGGCAGAGGCTGGAGGATCTCTGTGAGTTCAAAGTCAGCCTGGTCTACAAAGTGACTTTCAGGACAGCAGCAGCTGTTTCAGAGAGAAACTCTGTCTTGAAAAAAATGAGATGGGAGGGGGAGGGAGGGAGGGAGGGAGGGAAGTGGTCCTCATTCTGATTCAAATATCTTCACCACTTACTGAAGAAAAAAATCTGGACAGAGTTAGGGCTCTATTGGAGTGTGCCACAGCCTCAGCCCAGAAGACCCAGGTACCAGGGTTGTAGGCAATAAATATCCTCACTCCAGATGGAGGAAGAAAGGACAGAATAAAGAACTGAGGACCACAGGGGCTCACTTTTCTGTGTTCTAAACCTCTGCTGCACGGCATATATCTTCTGTGTAGAACTATTCCCTACAGTTCAACGGCTGGGAAATACTTTTCTTTTCAGTGCTGGGAATTAAACACAAAGCCTAGTGCATGCTGGGTACTTTGCCATTGAACTGTAGCCCTGGGAAACATACTGAAATACCAAGAACCACTTGCAATTTTTGGAAAAGGGTAGAGACAGGCAGATCCCAGGGGCTTGCCAGCCAGTGAGCCTGGCTGAAATGACAAGCTCCAGGTTAGGTGAGAGACCCTCTCTCACAACATAAGGTAAACAACAGAGGAAGAGCCCAGAAGCTGACCTCTGGAACAAACACACACAGCACAAGCAGAATGAATAACTGGAACTTTTTTTTTTTTTTGGCTGAGTATAAAGGTAACAAACAGCCATGCTTAGAGTAAGTTTTACATTCAAAACAGTGCTGTAGGGGCTGGAGAGCTTGTTCAATGGTTAGTGCAGAACGCTCTTACAGAGGACCTAAATTCAATTCCTAGTACCCATATCATGAGGCTCACAAACACCTATAACTCTAACTCCAGAAGATCTTCCGGCCTCTGCCAGTATTTGTTTTCATGTGCATGCATGTATGAACAAACACAGACAACCTAACAAAAATCAAAATACTAAGTCAGGGATGGTAATGCCTCCAGAAGTACTTTTATTGTATAGAATTGTTTTGGTTATCCTGGGTTTTTTGTTTTTCCATATAAAGTTGATTGTTGTTCTCTCAAGGTCTGTGAAGAATTTTGTTGGGATTTTGATGGGGATTGCATTGAATCTATAGATTGTTTTGGTAGAATTGCCATTTTTACTATGTTGATCCTCCCAATCCAAGAGCATGGAAGATCTTTCCATTTTCTGGTATCCTCTTCAATTTCTTTCTTCAAAGACTTAAAGTTCTTGTAAAATTGTTCTTTCACTTCCTTGGTTAGAGTTACCCCAAGATACTTTATGCTATTTGTGGCTATCGTGAAAGGTGATGTTTCTGATTTCCCTCTCTGTTTCTTTGTTCTTTGTGTAAAGGAGGGCAACTGATTTTTTGGAGTTGATCTTGTATCCTGCCACATTACTAAAGGTGTTTATCAGCTGTAGGAGTTCTTTGGTAGAGTTTTTGGGGTCACTTATGTACACTATCATATCGTCTACAAATAACGAAAGTTTGACTTCTTCCTTTCCAATTCGAATCCCCTTGATCTCCTGGATATGGGAGCAGGGAAGTATATAGCTTAATGAAGGGAGCTAGTTTAGGGTTGGCAAGAACCTAGAAGGGTTCCTAGGTGTCCAAGGAGATGTCCCCAGTTTGTTCCTTGGGCTGCTGAGGAGAGGGCGCCTGATCTGGCCTTATCCTATAGCCACACTGATGAATATCTTGCATATCACCATAGAACCTTCATCTGGCGATGGATGGAGATAGAGACAGAGACCCACATTGGAGCACTGGACTGAGCTCCCAAGGTCCAAATGAGGAGCAGAAGGAGGGAGAACATGAGCAAGGAAGTCAGGACGCGAGGGGTGCACCTACCCACTGAGACAGCAGGCCTGATCTAATGGGAGCTCACCAAGGCCAGCTGGACTGGGACTGATGGAGCATGTGATCAAACCGGACTCTCTGAACGTGGCTGAAAATGAGAGCTGACTGAGAAGCCAAGGACAGTGGCACTGGGTTTTGATTCTATTGCATGGACTGGCTTTGTGGAAGCCTAGTCTGTTTGGAAGCTCACCTTCCTAGACCTGGATGGAGGGGGGAGGACCTTGGACTTCCCACAGGACGGGGAACCCTGACTGCTCTTTGGACTGGAGAGAGAGGGGGAGGGAAATGGGAGGAGGTGGAAATTTTTAATAAAAAATAAAAATTTGCTGAAAAAAAACTTTTAAAAAAATCAAAATACTAAAGGCGTTTTAATAACTGCTGGGTTGAGTTGTACACCAGGGGCTTTCTCTGAAATGGAGCTGCAGGGAATGCTGACCGCCTAGGGACTCCATCAGAAACCATCACCACCAAGTGCTGAGGTATACTCCTAACATGGTCCCCTCACTGCAAGTCTGGACGTCAGGCACTCTTGGACCCTCAGCAGCAAGTCTCACGTTCTCAGTCAAGTGTGCAGCAGGTAGCCTAAGGCTGCTGAAGCCCAAGAACCATCCTGACTGCCCCACAGAGCAGGACGACCCGTCCCCTGATAGGCACACACAGGAGTCCATATGCCATACAAATACACCATGAAACCAGCCAAAAGTCTATATTAAAATTAGAATTCTGAGAGTGTCTGAAGCTCACATCAGTGGGATCTGGCCTCTGGCGCTCTGCTCTGTACGTGTGTGTGTGTGTGTGTGTGTGTGTGTGAGAGAGAGAGAGAGAGAGAGAGAGAGAGAGAGAGAGAGAGAGAGCGCCAAGACAAGAGCCAAGCTCAGAACTACTTGTACGAGGGATTCAGGATGCAGTCTGGAAGCAAAGGTGTGGGCACCAGAGTAAATATTTCTCACCCTCCAGGGGGAAGTGTGGAACCCTCTGAAGTTCAGGCCAAACAGGCTTTTCTTGTTTTGGCTAAGAAAAACCATTTGAATTCTTCAGATTGTGATCAACCCACAACATTTTAAACTTGATTTCCTAGCACGCCAACTTGTTTAAAATTCACTAATCAAAATATTATTAGAAAATTAAAAACTCATCTCTAAGCAAGATACACATTTTTCTTGAAAAGACGTAAATTCTGTCTTACCTGAATATATAGTTCAAGTACTGCTGGTCAATGTCACTGAAAAATTAAAGAGAAAAAAAGATAAGACTCATAAAATAATGAAAAGAATTTTTAAATCTATAAATGGTCATTATACTGTATTAATAAATTCTACCTCTAAGTTACTAATTTTATAAATTATCAAAGGAGAAGGAGCATTTCATATTCGAGATCAATTCTTGTCATTTGACCTGAAGTGACTTTTTAAATTTCACACAGCTCATTGAACATGGAGAGCTGGTGCCTACATGGAGCCCTCAGCCCACGTTCTCATCTCTTTGGTGAGGGAAGGGACTCTGCAAACTACGGAAAGAGAAATGTGGACACCAACCCAGCCACAAAACCTTTGACCTACAATCTGTCCTGTCTGCACAATATGCTAGTGCAATCAATGGTAGCTCAGAACTGTGGGAACAGCCGACTAATGTCTGGTTTGACTTCAGGCCCACTCCATAGAAGGAAGCCATACCCAGCACTGCTTGGGTAACCAAGAACCAGAGACTAGATAGTCCTAAGGTAAAAACTTTTACCTAAGCTAAAAACTAATGTAAAACCAAAGACAGACAGACAGACAGATAGATAGACAGATAGCCAAATAGATAGATAGCCAAATAGATAGACAGCCAAATAGAAAGATGATAGGTAGATAGATGATTGATAGAAAGATAGACAGACAGATAGAAAGAAAGACAGACAGATGATAGAGAAACAGACAGACAGATAGATAATAGAGATAGATAGATAGACAGATTGATAATAGAGATAGATAGATAGACAGATTGATAATAGAGATAGATAGATAGATAGACAGACAGATAAAACTGATTCCTGCTGATATTCTGCTATACTTGTCCAGTCTTCATCAGTGAGGCTTCCTCCAGCAGGAGATGCAAACAGATCCAGAGACACACAGCCAGACATTATGCAGAATTTAAATTGGAAGTCTCTACCAAACCCCTCCCCTCAGAGCTCGGGGAACTCCATGGAAGAGGTGACAGAAAGACTGTAAGCGCCGGAGAGACAGCGACACCAGGAGAACAAGGGCCTCTGAATCAACTAAGCAAGGTGCACATGAGCTCAGGGAGACTGAGGCAGCAAGCACAGGGCCTACACAGGTCTGCACCAGGTCCTCTGGGTATATAATATGTAATATATTACATTGTAACTATTAGTTTATGGGACTCTGACTGTGAAAACAAATGGGTCTCTAACTCTTGTGCCTGCTTTTGGGACTTTTTCCCTCCTGTTGGGTTGTTGTGTCCAACTTCGATATGAAAATTTTTGATTCATCTTACTGTATTTTATTTTGCCATGTTTGGTTATCATCTCTTAAAAGTCTGTTCTATTCTAATGAGAGAGAGAAAGGGAATGGATCCTCTTTTCTCACACAATATATCCTAATTATAGTTTCTCCCAGTTTCTCCACACCTCCCCTCTATCTCATACACTCCTTCAATGAAAGAAAGAAGGAAGGAAGGAACAAAGGAAGGGAGGGAGGGAGAAAGGAGGGAGGGAGGTTGGAAAATTAGAAGCTAGATTACTGACATAGTAAAACTCAGAAGAAAAAAACAGACAAACTAACCAACTGTTGTGGGATAATGTTTTGGTACACTATAAAGATTTGTCACTCACATTGGTTTAATACAATGCTGATTGGCCATTAGCCAAGCAGGAAATACAGGTGGAGCAGCCAGACTAAGAGAATTCTGGTGCGGGAGAATTATCTGTATTCTGTTAATCATATTTTAATAAAACGCTGATTGGCCAGGCAGGCAGTATAGGCGGGAAAGCCAGACAGGAAGTAGGGGTGGAGCAAAGAGACTGGGAGTATTCTGGAAGCAGAAGTTCTCTCAGCCATTCCTGTACAGACCACCGAAGAGGCAACATGTAAGCTGTCACACCGAGAAAGGTACTGAGCCCATGTGGCTAACATAGATCAGAATAATGGGTTAAGATAAGTTATAAGAACTAATAAGTAGCCTGACTTAATGGGCCAATCAGTTTTATAACTTATAGAGATCTCTGTGTGGTTGATTTTCCTTTGGGGCTTGCCAGATGTTGAGCACTGGGCGGGACAGATACCCCGACAAGCCGGCCCCCGTCATGTTACAGAATTCTGGGAAGAGGGAAGGCAAAGAGTCAGTCACCAGGTAGATGCAGAGGAAGCAGGATGAGAATGCTTCACTGAGAAAAGGTACTAAGCCACATTAAGCACAGACAAGAATTATGGGTTAATTTACGTTGTAAGACCTGGTTAATAATAATCCTGAGATAACTGGTCAAACAGTTTGCAATTAATATAAGCCTCTGTGTGTTTCTTTGGGACTGAACAGCTGCAGGACCAGGCAGGACAGAAACTTCTGTCTGCACCCAACACATTTCAGGATCAAACAAAGTATATTCTTATTTCAAATTAGTTATTCAGGTAAGTAAAGAATGAACCAGTTCCCTCAAACTAGGAGTAAGATTAGAATGAAAAAGCCCACTATAGCATTGGACGTGCAGGTGACTGACAAGAAACAGGAAATACAAATTCTAAACCCCTTCCAGAATGGGCCCATTCCTTTTTAAAACATTGCCAGTTTAGTGCTAATACACACCTCACCTGGGTCAGGTGCTTCCCACTTACGTGTTAACTACTTTCAAAGGAGAGTCAGCTATCAACTCTATCAACCATCTTGGACCACTGGATGCACTGGCTTTCAGAGCTGTTATCCTTAGCAGATGAAAACTCAAGGCCATGAGATGGCTCAGCTGGTATTGCTATTCTGAGGCCCTTGGTTTGCTCTGTAGGGACTGATGTAAGAAGGAGAAAACTGACTCCCAAAAGCTGTCTTCTCGTTGGGTGATGGTGACCCACGCCATTAATCCCAGCACTCAGGGGGCAGAGGCAGGCAGATCTATCTCTATGAGTTTGATGCTAGCCTGGGCTACAGATTAAGTTCCAGGACAGGTTCTAAAGCTACAGAAAAATCCTGTCTCAAAAAAAAAAAAAACCTGTCTTCCCTCCTACGTACAAACCATGGCATAAACACACCTCACATATGCATACTATACACACAACAGTATTTCTCTTTTAAAATCAAGAATATGCAAATAATTCAAAATTCAGCTAAAATCTTCTATCTCGTGTATGTTCTAACACTACATGGTGCTTACTTAAAGAACTATGTATTATTCATCCAACCTCAGATTTAAGTGGGCATCATGTACTTTGAGTGGCTTTGTTTTTTCTGAGACATGGTTTCTCTATGGAGCCTAGTCAAGCCTTGAACTCTAGATCCTCCTGCCAAAGACAAATTTACAGGTATTCACAACCACAACTGGCTCTGCTGGTTTCCGGCTACAAAAATACTTCATTCAAAGAACAAAAGGCAACCAAGAAAGAAAAGTCACAGGGGCAGGGCCTAGGGGCAGGAGCCATCCCCCAAGCCTTCCTTCTTCTCCGGGCTTCCAGGCGTCCCCACAACCAGAGGCCAGCTGGCCAGCCTCAGGCCCCAGCTCGGTGGAAACAAGAATTCTTTCCTTTTACTTAAATTTTAATTTTTTAAATTTTACATTCACCAAGACTGTTTCATTGGCTACCTACAATGACTGGGAACTAGGGAGGCTTCCAGATATAAAAACAAATTTTAGGGGCAGTGAAATCAGGAACACAGAAGCTGCCCTTCTGAGCTAGATGCAGTCAAGTGGCACCCTGAAAAACGAGAAGTACGGACATTTCATTAAATTACCACCCAAATGGCTGTCCCTAAAGAGTAAGAGACTTCTTTGCCTCTGCACACATTGCTAAAGGCTGGTGACAAACGGCCCAAGAGGTAAGTGGCCCAATTAGCAACAAGAGAGATGGCTTTGGGGTCATCTGCTCTCCTGTGCCTCTGGCTTACAGGGAAGACTGTATCATATGTGACATGGGTCACATCTCTTTAGTCAACCAACTCCCCAGATGTGAAGAGCTCACCTTAACACGCTGGGCTTCTGGGATTTCCGAAGTATTTTGTAAGCCCCTAGAAAACAAGGGACACGAGTCGTTGGTACTGTCTGTTTAAGGAGCGGCCTACACTTCCAGAAAAGCAGAAAATCCACAGGGAAAAGGCAGCTGGGCTCCCCAGACCCCAAAAGAGCGCTGGTCCCTTCTCCCTGTGTTGTCAATCCCAAAGATGGGAGGAGAAAGGCCACTGACTCACATCATCATGAAAAAATTAATTAAAGCAAGCAATTAACTAAAGCAAGCTTTTTTATTAGTATATATGGGGCTGCCTCCTCCTAAGGAGGGGTTTGAGAGGTCAGCAGCAGACATGAAGAATATAAGGTTTTTATAGCTTAGAGGTAAGGGAGTTCCAATGGGGGATTTGGTGGGCAAATAGGTAGGATTACAGGAACAGAATATAAGTATAACAAGTTACTCATAACAACCTCCAGAAACAGAGACATGATTGCATGGTGGTCATAACAAGGTAGTCATAACAACCCTTTTGAAAAAAAGGTAGGGTTGCTAGATGGTTATAAACAACTTTTTAAAACAAAGACATGGTTGCCATTTCTGGAACAGGTAGTATAGAACCATTTGTAGCTAAGGTTACAGGTGTAACATAGTCCAACTCTGGGGAAACTGAGGTTTAATCATAAAGAGGAATGAGCCTAGTTTGTCTTTACTATAAATGGTTTTTAAGCCTAAAATGGAGACAGGCTGGTTCATCAATTTCACAGGGAAAGGCCCCAAAAGGGAGCTAGCCCCTTCTCCCTCCTCATACACTGATAGGAAGGGTTGCAGGGATACAAATCCCATGACAAGGTCAGGCACTGCAGTTGCCAGAGGAAACAGTTGATCAAGAGTGACCAAGTGGTGCAGGGAGTACTGCTAACAGCAAGTTCCACTTCCTTCCCATGATGCCCGTAAAGAAGGAAAACCCTGAAATTTTTGATTACAACAAAACCAAACAAGATACGCTGAACTCATGACTTGAAATAAAATTGTATTGTCTTTTAATTTCATCTTTTGGTTTTTTTGTTTGCTACTGGAAGAATTTTAGACATGACATTCTGATTGTCTCTCAGGAAGCCTACATGTTCAGAAATGAGTTCCAGATGGACTACATAGAAGGATTTCTAGTGGTTTAGATAAAGCAAACATTCCGTAGAAACTTGTGAAACAGGCTTTCCATCCCAAAAAGGAGTCCTTCCCAGCAACTACTGAGCTTCCTTAAATCCACATTTGTCCACTCCTGTACCATGGCGCTTTCTCCCTGTCTCGGGCGGTCTCCCCTCTCTCTCTCTCTCTCTCTCTCTCTCTCTCTCTCTCTCTCTCTCTCTCTCTCTGCTATGCTCTTTCTCTCCATAGCTCTACTCTTCTCTCTGCTCTCCCGATTCCCTAGTCCTGGCCATGTCCAACCTGCTGCTTTCCTTCTCTCTGCTGTGGCCCCTTCCAGATGCCTCTGAATAGTTTCTCTCTTACCCACAATAAAAAGCTTGCCCCTAACAGAGCGGTCACATCAGTAGTTTCTTTACTGAGTCCCCTTGCATACACTGAGTCTGCCATTTTTTACGGAAGAGCAACTAACATTACAAGTAAAACCCAAACCAAGGAGAGTTTGACACAAAAGAGAAATCATGTTGGAAATAGAAATACCTGGGGAGAAGTCCAAAGTAGAAAAAAAAATCTAGAAATTTTCCATTTAACTTTAACCTTAATATCTTAATTTCCCTATTGTGTAGTATCACTTAAAAAATGGTAACACAGTAAGAGCTTAATAACAGTCCTCAACCATTTAAATAAACACTTTTAAAACTTACCTACACAAAATAAGTGAACTACAGCCCAAGAATATCCATCTGCATCAAACTGTAACACAGAATTAAAAAGAAAAGGAAAAGCTAAGTTACAGACAAACAGAAATTTGTACAGCAGGCAGGAGCCAAGTGAAGAGCTAGCCTAAGGCTCCAAAGCCCCTTTTCCGGGCCTAGAATCAGTTCATCTCCCCAGACATCTTTCTGGGTTCTCCACCATCCCCTCTGTCCCCCACCAATGTGTTCGAATGTAAATTCATGACATCCAAACACCTGTATGACTGCCATGGTAAAAAATGGAATCTCTCTAGATGGAGACAAGCCATTGTCTCTTCCCTTAAGAGGTAATCAGGTTGGGTGGGTCCAAGACCTGGCCGGGAACTAACCACAGACATGCAGGACCACTCCAGGAACGCTGGCTCACCTTAAAGCATGCTAAACAGACAAATGGAATAATTATTCTTTTAAAGACATACTGTACTTTTACTTCCCAGCACAGCTCCTACTGGCTGCAGTGGGGTTCAGCTGTCTTCCTTTCTAACTCAGAAAGATGCTGTGCTAGTTTGAATGTAATTGGCCCCATAAGCTCACAGGGAGTGGCATTAATAGGAAGTGTGGCTTAGTTGGAGCTGGGTGGCCTTGTTGGAGGAAGTGTGTCACTCTGGGGGTGGGCTTTGAGTTCTCCCATGCTCAAACTACTCCCAATGTCAGAGATCATTTCCTGTTGCCTGCAAAATGTCTGCCTGCACTCCGCCATGTCCCACCATGATGATAATGGACTGAACCTCTGAACTGTGAGCGAGCCACCCCGTTAAATGTTTTCCTTTATAAGAGTTGCCGTGGTCATGGTTCTCTTCACAGCAATAGAGACCCTAACTAAGACAGATGTAATTTTGTTCTTTTTTCTATCTTCCGCCAGACACTGGCCAGAACTACAAATGCTTTTTCTGACACTTGGGTTTTCTGATTCCTTCTTTAATGCTCCACTCCTCCTCAACCATGGTGGCTGCCTGCCACCCTGTGGCTGACCTCCACACCAGCCAGGTCCCCCCTACCCCACACTCCACCCCACCCCACTTCTCTCCAGAGTTCTCTGTAGGTGCTGAGATTCAGAGCTTGCTCATTTGGGGGTGGTGCTATTTTAAATTCTAATGAAACTGTCCTCCAGTTTCTGTTTGAGTTCACTCTTCTTTTTTATTAGTAAGACTAAGAACCTCAAAAGGAAACCCTGATTTCCCAAGTATCATCTGGACACCATGAAGAAGCTCTCCAAAATTCCAGTGACATGGCAAAGGCTTCTTCAGTCACATCTACAGACTCCCAACCCGAAGAACAAAGACATCCTGCATTTTCCCAAGCGGGACTGTTTCCCGTTCAACGCAGCCAGAATTCCTTCCTTCCTCTGTAGGAATTTACTTTGGCGATGCTGGGGAATAGGACCAGGACATTCCACATGGTAGGCAAGCAGTTTCTCACTGCCCCACTTCAACACTGACTCCTGCCTTTTCTGCTTTTCTCTGTAAGACTCGACATCATCAAACACTCCACAGTTTCCTTGTTCCGCTTCTATCTCTCACTCTGCAGGAGGTAGGGATTAGAACAGAGTATACACACTAATAGTTTGACATAAAGTAAATCCCAGAATAGCCATGGCCCACCCCGAGTTGCCCTGCTTTCTCTCTAATTAACACCCCTCATTCTTCCATATTTAAACCTGGTCAGGAGAGGCCTGCTCCCGCATCACAAAGCTCTGGATAAAATTCTAAAATACACACTTATTAGTTTATTTGGAGCACACTAACTCTTTGATTAAAAAACAGAGATTAAAAAGTCCCTACCCTTTCAAAATTGTCGAGATTTTTTTTGTGTGTATACATGTATATGTGTGCACATATGTACATATGTAGATATACAAGCCTATAGGTGCACAGGTGGAGGCCAGAGACAGACAGCAGATGCATTTCTTATTTTTGAAACAGGGTCTTGCACTAAACCTGAAGCTCACTGACTGACTAAAGGCCCCTGGGATTCTCCCTGTACTGGGATTATGAGTTTGTGCCCCAGCTTCATTTTTCGTTTTTAACTTGGGCACTGGAAATCCAAACTCTGGCCCTCAAGTATTTCACCCAATGAGCCATCTCCCAAGCCCATGTTGTGAACTCCAAAATAAGACAAAGTACATAAATCATTGTCACAGAGCCCACCATAAAGCAAGTCCCCATAAATGTTAGTTACTGTTAGGGCCCCTGAACCTCTTAGGTGCTTCCCAGCCTTAATGTCTCCCTGGCATGCTATGATGGCCTATTTCCCTCTCCTTTGCTCTAAACAGCCTCCATTGCCTGCTGTAACACACTAATGTACTTATCCTTGGATCCTCTGACCGTTGGCAGAGTCTTGATAATGCCAGGGAAGAAAGGAGAAAAAGATAAAAAAGAAAAATCTAGCAATGAGATGATTACTAGGGCTGAAATGGGTCTCTAAGGGCCTCCTAAGATAAACCGCCTGGGCCCAGGATGCCAGTGAAAACCACTCTGCAGAGGAAGAAGGAAAATCAACTTTGATTGATTGCCCAAAGCTGGGGTGACTCAGGTGAGGGATCATAGGGTCTCGAGGCTGGTCAGACGGCACGCTGCCTACAGCCACTGTTGAAGGCCTGGAGAACAGACAGGCTGGGCCACAACGTGGCCATCCTGATAGCTTCTGACCGTCTTTGCAGGGCCAGGCCATTGTGGTTCTGAAAGAAAGGCAGAGAAATACTGCACGTCCGATGTGAGCTATGAAAGTCTTTGACAGTGCTGTGAGTTCACTGGACTTACCTGTGCGTCCTGGAAGGGAAGGCACCCTGCAGCAGCCATGAGGAAGAGGGCACTGTGAACAGGCAGATAAAACAGGCAACTTCAGCTTTCAGAGAGTGTAGGGTGGGGGAGGGGGAGGACACACGCACCCATTGGAATCTCTGAGGGTCCCACTACCTGTACCTCAGTCACGTGCTCTGCTGACAGTGGGGCACTTCCTCCTCTGTGACTCAGCTGGCTTGTCCCTAAAGCCCAGTATTCACAGAGTACCTGAAAACTAGAGTTAGCTTATCCCAAAAGTGTTCCTGTTCATCACAGATCCCCCCAGATACGAAAGGGGCAAACTGGGAGATCAGATCACAACCATGTCAATTACTAAATGAACGCAGCATGGAAAGTACATTATGTCTTATCCACCGCCACTAAATAATTGATCTCAAGATCTCTAATAATAGGGCATATCCATCATGTGCGTCTTGATAAGGTGCCCTCAGGACACAGTGTCAAGTCTGTGGTCTTTGAATTGAGCCATGAGGAAATGATATAATAAACCCAGACCTAGGCCTAGGCCGTCACAAATGTGGAGACCAGGCTGGCTGAGAAAGCAGAAGCACCAGACCTGATGAGCCACACATGGGGGAAGGAAAGAACTAACCCCAGTAAGTTGTCTTTTGATCTCCACATATCACACACACTTTGGTACAATCGTGTGTGCACAACACACACACATACACATCACAATAAATAATTGTAGTTTTAAAAACTTTTAATGGGAAGGCAAGTAAAAAAAAATACAGAAAAAGGTTGAAGAACTGATCAACATTAAAGGATATACAAGACACATGCCACTCTGGAGGGGAAACTGTTACAAAACACAAACCGTCAGATAAAAGCATCAGATGGATGCCAGTCTTCTAATGTCACTGGTTACGTCAGGGGTAGCTGACATTAGGAGACATACAAAGTATTTAAGAACAGGGTTATGGCTATACAACTTCTTCTCAAGTAGATCAGAAGAATATGAGTAATGAAATATATATTCTTACATACATTAAGTTATATTTGTATATATGAGTTCATGTACATATGAGATATATATGTGTTTATATGAGATATATATGTAAAGTATTTAGTTTAATAAAAAATATTGTTAATAAAAAATTAAAACTTTAATCTTTATTTCCCAGATAAAGAGTTTTTTAAGAAAAACCTCTTATAATCCTGAAATACAGGTGAGGAGCTACAGATCTGGGATTGGCTTCAAAGTCATCCAGGAGTAAAGCAGTGGCTGGATCTGTCAGTTAGACATTGAACTAGGAAACATATAGAGACTTGATTATACTCTTCTGTCTAATTTCTACTAACTGTTGCTTTAAAACATTCTCTTACAAAACCCCATCACAGCTGAGCAGTGGTGGCACATGTCCTTAATCCTAGCACTCGGTGGGCAAAGGCAGGTGAATCTCCCAAATTTGAGGCCAGCCTGGTCTACAGAGTGAGTTCCACGACAGCCAGGGCTACACAGAGAAACCCTGTCTAGATAAACAACAACAAACAAACAGCAATGACAAAACCCACAGCCAATCAGAGGTGTTTTCAGAACTCTCCTGGATGCAGGCTTCGTCTAACAATTCTCTTCCAAAGCACAAGCCAGCTTAGTCTCTGCTCTAGCCATTTTATACAGACAACAACACAGCCCTGGGCACCTTCGCTGCTGACCATTTGTTACGCTGGATGACAAGTAAAAGAGGTCAAAGGCATTTTGTACAGCGGTAGCGTTCAGTACAGACGCTGCCATCGTCACCTGGAAAAAGTTTTATTTCATTTTTGTTTCAGGAATGGGGCCTGCCGCCATGGTCTCATACACGCTAAGCAAGGGCTCCACCGCTGAGCTATACCAGCCCTGCTTTATATCATGAGACAGGATCTCACAACCTTGCCAAGGTGACTTTGTGCCTGCAATTCTTGGGCCTCAGCCTTCTGACAAGTTGGTATTACAGGGTTTTCTATGCCACCATACAGGGCTTTCGGGAGATTTTTACATATGGCATTATCAAGCATTTTATGCCAATATGTTATCTATGTACAAAATTCTATATTCTTTTTTATAGATCACACACATATATATGTGTACAAACACACACACCCATGTAACATACAACAACCTAAACAAGTCATAACTCAGCACATGATGCTGACCCACCCCAGTGATCCTCCCTACTGTAACATGTGGCTGTGTACTGTACCCAGACTTCTGTTAGGGCACTAGGCAGGAGGCGGCCCTGGAGATCCCTCATAGCTAGACCCTACCTTTGGGAAGGTCAGAACAACACAGGCCAGCCTGAGGCCCAGAAGCCTCTGCGCTCAGCCTACCCTCCTGACAATCATGGTGGATTCTCAGTGTCCTGGAGGATGGCAAACAGGACCGGGGACTGTCAGGGGCTCTCTCGGTCAACACAGAACAGGCTGTGTTTAGTGGGAAGGAGAATCCTGATGGGCTTGAGGACTCACTCAAGGAGTGGAAGGCCACACGGGATGAGCAGGACGTGGAGTGCACATGCATGTGCAGGCTAGAGGTCATGCCTCAAGAATGATCCACGTCGCTGGATCATTATTTTATTTCTTAGATTTATTTTATTCATATGAGAGCTTTACTTACATATATGTCTGTGCACCAGAGGCATGCCTGGTGCCTGAGGAAGTGGTGAGCTTCCATGTGGGTGCTGGGAATCAAACCAGGGCCTTCATAAGAATAAGCACTCTTAACCACTGAGTGAACTCTCAAGCCCAGATCCACTTTGTTTTTTGAAACAGGGCCTCAAAACCATGCCTTTCCTGTTATATCACACACTGGAATTACAAGGCTTTTAAAATGGAGCTGGGGATTGATCATGGGCATCGGGTGTGTGTGGTAAGCGCTAAGAACTGAGCTACCCCCCAACCACTCCAGTTTTGTTTATTTTTAGATTGTAAGTTGTTTCCATACTTTTCATTTGGTTCATCACTACTACTGAGCAATAAGTGAAGTTTTGTGCACTCAGCGTAGAAATATAATATGGGTTGGTTTTTCCCCTTGGAAGAAAATACTGCACCCTTTTGATCCCAGCACTTGGGAGGTAGAGGCAGACGGATCTCTGTGAGTTCAAGGGCAGCATGATCTACAGAGTGAGTTGCAAGACAGCCAGGACTCCCCAGAGACACCCTGTCTCCAAAAAGGAAAATATTGCAAAAAGGAAAAAATAATCTTAAAAATAAGAAACAAAGTACAAATATATGGCTGCTGATAAGAAATTCCTCCTTCAACTGTTTCCCAGCTGAGTTTACATCAGGTCGACTCCGACATCCTCAGGGTGTTGCTTTTTTTTTTAACTTACCTACAGATCTTTGTGGGCGATGTTTTCTGTATGAAAGAGAAAAGACATAATACATTAATTAGTCTTTCTGAACTCTTTCACCTCCTTCAACAAAAACACTTAGATTAAAAAGTGTTTTTAATTTAAAAATAAATTATTAAATCAACTTTTAGGGAGCTTAAGAGCTCACTGCCAGGGGCTGGAGAGAAGGCTTAGCAGTTAAGAGCTCTGGTGGCTCTTCCAAAGGTCCCGAGTTCAATTCCCAGCATCCACACGGTGACTTATAACTATCTATAACTGCAGTCCTGTGAGATCCGATGCCCTTAGCTGGGGTGCATGCATGTAGACAAAATTTCCATATACATAAAATACATAAATAAATAAATCTTTTCTCTTCTAAAGAGATCTTGCTGCCCTGGTGTTTCCTGCTGCTTCCTGTTCTTGGACAAAGATTGCCAGGTGGCGGCAGAGTCCTCTGCCAAAGCACTCTGACCACGGTACAGTGTTTGTTTATGAACTAGATGATGTCAGTGTCAATTTTCAGATCTTACACACAAATCCAAGGACATGGAGAGAAATCAACGTGATCTACACCGGAAAAAACAACTAATCTCTAGTTCAACTTCTAGTCTCTGTGTATGTATTTATTTACTGATTTCTAAAAAATATTTATTATTTAAGTGTGTGTGTGAGTGAGTGTGTGTGTGTGTGTGTGTGTGTGTGTGTGACTTTACATGTACCACATACATGCAGATGCCCACAGAGGCCAGAATTGGAGTTACAAGGTGACTGATTGTAAGACACTCAGAGTGGGTGCTAGGAACCAAATGCAGGTCCTCTGCAAAGGCAGAAAGGAGTCAAAACCTCTAAGCCATATCTCCTGTCAGAGTTAATGGTTTTGGGAAGAGGACTAGTCTTGTTATACTTCCCAGACTATCCTTGAACTCCTAAACTCAACCGATCCTCCTGCCTCGGCCTCCTGTATAGCAGTAACTCCAAGCAAGCATCACTGTGCGCAGCTACCGCTGTGTCTCCCTAGAGATCCCTTTCACTCACCGGCTCTGACTGAGCAATGTTAGACATTCTCTGGTCTAACAGAAATCCTGGAAACAGAAATGCGGATAAGGAGCATTTATCTCACCCTCAGAGAGAAGGAAGAAGCATCAGGCTGGGAGAATATAAACCTGGCACTTAAAGTGTCTTGAAATGAAGAACTTCTGACCTGGACCATCTTTTTAATCAGATCAAGTAAAATTAACCCGTGGCACAAAAGAATAAAGTTTTAGCAGAGTCACACAGATTTTTCTGCTTTATGATGAAATAAGAGGAAGAATGACAGCTTAATTCTGGATATTTCAGGATCATTTTAGTATCTGGGACAAGCTACAACTTCTGACGCCTGTTCAGATCGTGTGTTGCTTAGAACAGCGCTGCAGTCAGGCACGGAGACACACCCTTGTCATCCCAGCACCCCAGAGCCCATGGCAGAATAATGTGTTCAAAGCCAGTGTTGGCTACAGAGTAAGTTCTGGGGCCTGTCGAGAGCGAGAAAGACAGAGACAGACAGACACACACACAGAGACACAGAGAGAGAGAGAGAGAGAGAGAGAGAGAGAGAGAGAGCGCACTGACAAAAGAAAAATGTGGTCTGCTCTTCAGGATACATTAAGTTTTCCGTGCTGGTAAGTGATCACATGTTTGTTCTTTTAATAAGCAGCTTCTATTCAAGAACAAAGCTATGACTTGTATCTTTAGGGTCTTTTGAACAAGCATAGCAAGCATGGGCAAGCGTGGCTGTGCTGCCCCCTAGTGGGTAGAGTGCCTGGGCTCATAAGACCTGCATCTTCGATCTTGTTATTGTAAAATGTGCTGTCTTTCAAGCTATTATTAGAAGCTAAAGATAGTGGAGCCCTCACAAGTCTGGCTAAAAGCAAGCATGGAAGGTATGGGTTTTGGGGTCAATCTACCTTTGCTAAGAATAACATGTCTTCCCAGCAACCACTGCATGGTTTACAACACAGAGCAATCCAGGTCCTAAGAGGTCAGCCTCTTAGGTTTTATGTTTTTGTTTTTGTTTTTAATTAAATTAACTTCCCCCCCCCCCCCCATTTTACCTAGTCTGGGCTTTGTTTCTTTCTTTCTTACAGGGTATTATGTATCCAGGTTGGCTTTGAACTCACTCACCTCCCAGTGCTGGGATTCAGGAGTGTACCACCACACCAAATTATTTTGTTTTCATGAGACACACTCTGTATCTCAGACTGGCCTGGAACTCACTATGTAGCTCAAGCTGGTCTTGAACTCAAAATAACTTTCCTGCCTCAGCCTCTTGAGAGCTGGGATTATAGGTATAAGCTACCATGGAGGCTGAGAAACACAGTGATAACTCAATAAAAGCTCATTACCTAGCTCCCTTCCCCTAGGGCTCTGAGAACAACTTGGTCATTACTGTAAGGCATTCTCATTTTCAGGGCCTTGCTCCAAAAGTAAGTACTCCCAATATCTCAGGGTTTGGGGTTACAAAATGCAACTCCTCGGAAATCCTATTTCAGCTGAGTATGGTAGGTAGCACAGGCATATAGCTTCAGCCCTTGGGAGACTGAGACAGGAGAGCTGTAAGGTCAAGGCCAGCCAGAACTACACAGTGAGAAAGACCCCAGTTCCGAAGAGAAATGGTCACATGACAACAATTACAGTAAGGGCTGAAATCGCTCTGGAGAGTCTAATTTCCTGCAAGCACTGATTCGAGTGTGCCGGGCTTTACCTGTGTTGTCTAGTATAATTATGGGTCAACAGACAAGACGTGAAGGAAATTAGGGAAGAGGCTGTCCAAGACCTTGGGGTTTGGGCTCCACATTCTGGTTCCATACCCAACCCTTTAATGGCACAGCCTGCCTGCCAGTTCTTCAGTGATAACCTCCCTGACCTTTAGCCACCAGCCTTCAATGGCTTCCTCTGCCTACCTGAAGTGTAGAAAACCCCTGCCATCCCATGTAGCTCACTGGAAAGGCTTCTCCGTGGTACACACACACACACACACACACACACACACACACACACACACGGCTGCAGCCCGCATAGGCATCAAAGCCCATGTGTTAACGTCAGCTCTTCCCCACTCAACTCTGAGCTTCACAATGGTCATGAATGCACGTTCCTCTCTTTTAGTACAAACAACACATGATGAAAAGCAAGCCAACAGAGGTGGTATTCTAACACACCAGGCCATGAGGCCAATCCCACAAGCCACCATGCCCTTCCAGCCAGACCCTGCAGGGGGAGGGGTGGCACGACAGAGAGAGAACACACAGAATGAGCTGTGGGTGGTGGAAAACAAACTGCAGGCTCTACACCAAGTAAACTCTCATAATCTGGGAATCATATCAGGAGGAGTCAGTTTTACTCTCTAGAGTTTATAAATTTATACATAATGGTAAAGTAAAATTTATATATAACGGTAAAGCCAACTCTCCTCATAATTTTTGACATTTATTATTAGTGGGGGGCACATCAGCAGGTCTGGGGACAGCTTATGGCAGTGAGTTCTCTTCCACTGTGTAGGTTCCAAGACTCAAACTTGGTTGTACAGCTTGGAGGCAGCCCTTACTCAAAGAGACACCTCAGTGGCCCTGACTGTAACATCGGACAGCGTGTGAGGGAGACAGCACTGTGTCCATCACGGAAGGATACCCTTCCAGGTTCTCAGCTGTAGTGACATAAGAACATATCACACAACAAGGAGTTGGCACAGGTGGCATTTCAGGTCCTGGGCTACAGAGTGAGACCTTGTCTCCAGGATACCAGATCTGTTGGTTCAGACCTGGAGTCCCAGAACTGTGGAGGCAGACGCACAAGGATCAAGAGTTGAAGGCCAAGTGCTGAGGAGGCAGAGGCAGGGAGAGCTCTGTGGGCCAAGCCCAGCATCGGTCTACATGGTGAGCTCCAGACTAGGTAGAGCTACAAAATGAGGCTCTGACTCAAAAAAAAAAAAATCAAAACAAACGAACAAACGGAAATCCAGAAATCTTCATCTCAAAGAAGATTTTAATGACAAAGTGTTAAAAATAAACCACCTACGTGTGAGCAAACAGGGACTGGCTCACACTGGCTCATCCAACATGGGGCAGCAAAAGCAGTAGCGTGTCTGAGACTTGACAGATGACAAAGCCATTGTGTCAGTACATCTATATATGTGCAAGGAAAATGTCTGCAAAAATACAGGTTTCCTGGCGTTTTTTTCTTTGCATTTCCTAGAGCTACTTATATCTTACTACCTTCACTATGGAGAGAGGCTTGTGGGTTTTGTGAGAGACGGGGTCTCGCACATCCTGCATAGCCAGGTATGACCCTGACTTTCTGATCCATTTGACAACTGCCAGGACCACAGGCACATGACACCATACCCAGGGCTTCACACGAGCTAAGGACACTACCAGCCAAGCTAGGTCCCCAGCAGAAGGTTTGTGATTAAAATTCTCACCCACTCGCTTGCTTTGCCATTTACTCTGACCAGAACTGGTGCTAGCCAGGTGTGTTGCACACACCTCTAAAGCACGAAACAATCCCACACCAGTTTGGATTCAAAGGGTTATTTATTTGAGAGGAAAAAACTTACAGAACACTGTCCTACACAACAGCCAGGAAAGGAGTCTAGTCGCTGGAGCAAGAGAGAGAGAGGAGGGCTGCAGCTGCTTTTTAAAGAGAAAGAGACCATACCCCAGTGGGCTGGTATCTCAATGGCTATTGGCTGAAGGAGCGGAAGGAGCTCCCGTAGCACCTCCCCCTTTTGTTTAAGTAAGAAAGTTCCAAACCTACTATGAAATTATATACAATAAGGACAAATATCCTATACTAACTAGCTTAAGTCTTGTATAATAAATAACTTGGCCAAGTCATGAGAGGAAAGTAACTACATTCATCTAGTCTTCAACCCCACTGAAGATCTGAGAAAGGAAATAATGTTACCTGAGTAATTAGGAAGTGCAATCAAACAACTTCCAAAACATGCAACAAATCACAGAGACAACTGGCTACCTGGGCAATCACCCAAAGTTACATTTGCAGCGTTGAAGCAACCAACTTTGGCTAAGGCCTAGAATAATTGACAGATTATTTTTAAAGGCAAGAAATTTTTCAAAACCATCTTACCCTGTCTTGGCAAGATTTGACAGTTCTGTTTATCCATTTCCGGATACTATGTATTTTGTCAGTGGTTGAGGTATAGGCAGTTCCTTGCCCAGAGGCTGGTTTTGCCAAGAAGACAAGCTCCAAGTGGAGTGTCTTTGGTGCTCAACAATCTCTCGGGAATAGATCAGTGTTGCCAGGAGCGATTGTGTCTCACTACCACAGAACTCTAAATTAGATTAAATGCCATTTTCTACAGCTCTTTGAAGAGGTTGAAGATTATTTATACAGATTTATAATATAATCTCTGTGTATCTAAAGAACCTGATTAACTATAAATATGGCAAATATAGATGACTATTGATCTACAATTCTTAATACCTATCTAACTTAAAGACTAAGAGAATAAACAACTGTGCAATAAATGAGGACAATGACCTCCAAATGTAAACAATGTACAAGTATACATTGCAACATGGTAAATATATATCAATACATAAACAATATATAAGTATCTTAATCAGAAATGTACACTGCCCTAGCAAACCATAAAAAAGCATATGAAGGATGAGGAAGAGGCCAGGTCATGAGGGAGAGCCTGAGGCTCAAAAGAGAACCAGGACAGAAGGGCCATTAAGGCCAAGGAGTCCAGAGAATCCAGAAAAGCAAACACGCTGACAAACAGCACACACCCCCAGTGAAGAGTCAACTGGCCAGTGGCCTCTGACCTCAGGACTCTAGTCAGAGTGATGCCTGGGTAGGGTGGAGTGAAGAAGGAACAGCTAAAGGTGGGAGAACAAGAAATCCTAGAAAATGTTGTGTCTCACTGTCAGTAAGGCCCGTGGCCAGGAAGAGATGGGTGACGGGCAGAGCTGAGGGGACAAAGGGCTTGTCAGGCTTCTTGCCTGGCTGGTCCAGGGCTGGATTAAAGTCAGTCAGTCTCCCTGGGCTAATACCAAATGTGTGCACAGGTGGAAAACAAGCTGGCAAAGTGACCCTAGGCAGAGGAAGGGAACTGACAGAGCCTCCTCCAGTGAATAGATGGGATGGCAGGGAGACTGGGTGTGGCAAGGACACCTCTCTCTCTCTCATGCACGTGTCTCAAGTAGCCAGCTAGCTTCTCTAAAGCTCAGAAGTTCAAAACATGATAGAAAACCAAATGAGCAGATGTCAGAAAAAAGAAACTCCTGAATGAGGGACCACATTAAAGTCACTGCTGTTGCCACAAACAAACACAGGGACCTATTATGTGCCAATAAGGTCAGGAAACACTTAACCCTATTAATGCTACTGTCTCCTCCTTATGATCCCTAAGTTGAGTGCCATTGGTGTGCCCTTTCACAGACAGAAGCCCCCAAAATGAAGAACCTATTTCAGGGGATACTGTTAGAGCAGGCAAAAAACTAGGGAGCTGAGGGAAGCAGATCCTCAAGAGGAAGCTTCAAATTTTCAAAGTTAACATTCTAGCAAACGATCCTGGAACTGTCATTGTTCAGTCAAAGGCACTTACCATACAGGTCTGACACGCTGTGTTCAAGGCCCAGGACCACAGAATGCGGGAGCACAGAACCAAGTCCACAAAACTGTTCTCTGATCTTCATGTGTGCGGCACACACACACACACACACACACACACACATATATACACACACACACAAGTACCAGAAAAGGGTGGGGAGCTGTAGCTCAATGGTAGGGTATTTGGAGAGCATGCATGAAGCCCTGGGTTCCATCCCCAGCACTACAAACATGCATATGGTGAAACAGATACAGAGCACTTAGCCACATAGCAAGTTACAAGCTTGCCCGAGGTTCATGAGAAGGGCCTCCACAAGATCGGGCTTCAGGCAAGCCTATAGGGCATTTTCATAATTAGTGATTGATGTGAGAGGGCCCAGCCCACTGTGGGTGGAGCCACCCCTGGGCTGATGGTCCTGAGTTCTCTAAGAAAGCGGGCAAAGTAAGCCAGGGAGGCAAGCCACCCTCCACTGCCTCTGCATCAGCGCCTGCCTCCAGGTTCCTGCCCTTGCTACTGCCCTCACTTCCAGTTGCTTTCGCTGTTTCATCGGAGCAACAGTAACCCTAACTAGGACAGGCTACTGAGTGAAAAGCAGGTCTCTGACGTTTAAAGTAAGGGCTGTGAAACATTTTTTTTTAAGGCAGTTTGCTTATTTACCTCTTTCCAGACACACTTCTGGAACCCGCAGATGAGAACTTCAGCTACATTATGCAAAATGAAAAACACAGGAACAGCCTGAAAGCAAACAGAATAGAAAGCATTAAAATGCGTTCTCCCATCTTGCAGTTACTTGACTTTTGTTTAAAAATAAGATGTGTGGGAACATGCAGCATTCAGTCTCTCCAGCAAAGAATCTTCTAGGCCAGCACTTTGCTGAAGTATTCTTCATTTTTCCTCCAAGATTTATTTATTTATTCTATGAGTAGGTTTTCTGCATGCATATTTGTGAACCATGTGTAGGCATGGCCAGTGGAAGCCAGAAGGTATCAGATTCACTGGAACTGGAGTTACAAAAGTGGGAGCCACTATATTGGTGCTAAGAACAGTGCCTGGGTTCTCTGCAAGAGCAGCAAGTGCTCTTAACCACTGAGTTGTCTCTCTAGCCCTTGAAGTATTAATTTTGGTGGGGTGTATGTCAAGGTTCCTCTCCTATGGGATTTTCATCTTCAGTCTTAAGTACCTCCTCTGTATCGTGCATCATACCAGGTGCAAGGCACAAATCCCATGAGCATGGTGGACACACTGTCCCCAGCATGCAGGAGCTCAGATGGTATATTCTGTAAGACACAGCTAGCCCAGTGAGGGAAGAGCAAGCCTGCATGGTGGAAACAAGGTCTTAAAACACAGAAATGGGCAGCTTTATCATGTGATAAGGTGACCTGGAGCTGATCAAGCTGAGAATTTTTAAATAGTCTTTTTGACTAGTTGATAACAAAGAAGTGACCATGGCTTTTGGTTTCCTGACTATGAATCCAGAAATGAGATTAAGTTTGGGGTTGAGAATTTAGAACTTTGGAGTTGAACTAAGGACGCAGAGGAGGTTTAACTGTCTAATTACACACTGTGGCAGTTGTCTCTGTCTCCCTTGGCCTGGCTGACCAGCAGCTGCAACGGGACCTGTCTGTAGGCACAAAACTGATTCCAAGCACACAAATAACTAGCACATGGATAATGTCACATGATTAACAGCTCCAAGTTGCCCCAGGATTGCTTATTTTGGAAGCAGATCTTGCTATACAGTCCAGGTTGGCCTCCTAGAGGTGAGATTATAAGCGCGCAGCTCAACACCCAGTGCGCTAACAGTCAGCAATTGTGGACTTTGCATTGTTCCTTAACCCTCTTCCAAAGCAGATGACACTGTAGCTATGAGCCTCACAGACAAGGCAGACAAAGTCTCTAAGACTTCCAGGTAAGCTGCTCTGCTGTGACATTTAAATCCCAACAGGGATGTAAATCCCAGTGAGCCTGCTGCTGTCCAGGCTCAATGAGATTAGTATGAACCAGATCCTGGCAGCTAGCTAGAGGTGTGCCTTATCCTCGTGGTTCTAGCACTCAGGAGGCTAAGGCAGGAGGATCACTGCTGGTTCAAGGCCAGCCTGGGCTACAGAGTGAGTTACAGGCAAATCTGGGCTACAGAGTGAGATGCTGTGACAAAAAAATAAAGCAAATCCTGGCAGCAATAAAACTTCTAAGCTCTAAACCCGGTGAGCTCTGACCAAAGCCAGGCTATTTTAAAACGGGTATCACTGATTCTTCCTTAAATTTTAAATCTAAGATTCTCAAGCCATTTTTCCTACTGAAAAGCTAACAAATTAGAGACAGTCAGCCCACAGCTGACCAGTTAAACTGTATCCCCAGGGTAGAGATCGACCAAAAGCAAAGCTGATGCTTCCTCGGCCTCTAGCTCACTCGAAACCCTGCTGTTTGGTTCTAGAGCCTTGCTGTTGCCTGACGCCTTGGGAACAACAAAGCATTTCCCCCATCGCTGGATCCAAATATCTGACAAAGAGAAACTTAAGAGAGTACGGCTTATTCTGACTCACAGTTTGAGGGGATCCCGCCCATCATGACTGACTGACAGGGAAGGAAGGCATGTGATTCCATCATGACAGAGAAGGAAGGTGTGTGGAGCCATCAACAAGAGGTAGTTAGTCACATTGCCTCTGCAGTCAGCGTTCTAGTTCCTGCTTTATTGCCATGATAAGACACCATGACCACAGCAACTTATACACTTGCTTACAGTTTCAGAGGGTTAGAGTCATGACCAACCATCATGGAAGAGAGCATGGCAGCAGGCAGGCAGGCATGGCGCTGTAGAAGCAGCTGAGAGCTTATGTCTTGAGGCAACAACCATGAGGCAGAGAGAGCTATCTAGGAATGGCACGGGCTTTTGAAACCCAAAGTCCACCCACTGATTGGCCAGTAGCCAGGCAGGAAGTATAGGTGGGGCAATGAGAACAGGAGAATTCTGGGAAAAGGAAATGGTGAGTCTGCAGTCGTCATCCAGACACAAAGGAAGCAAGATGAGAATGCCTCGCTGATGAAAGGTACCAAGCCACATGGCTAACACAAACAAGAATTATGGGTTAATACAAGTTATAAAAGTTAATAAGGGAGTAAATTGGTAGCATGGGGATCTTGGGAGAGGGTTGAAGGGGAAGGGAGAGGCAGGGAGGGGAGCAGAGAAAAATGTAGAGCTCAATAAAAAAAAGAGCTAATAAGAAGCCTGAGCTAGGGGCTGGAGAGATGGCTCAGAGGTTAAGAGCATTGCCTGCTCTTCCCAAGGGTCCTGAGTTCAATTCCCAGCAACCACATGGTGGCTCACAACCATCTGTAATGGGGTCTGGTGCCCTCTTCTGGCCTGCAGGCATACAGACAGACAGAATATCGTGTATGTAATAAATAAATAAATGTAAAAAAAAAAAGAAGCCTGAGCTACTAGACCAACCAGTTTATAATTAATGTAGACCTCTGTGTACTTCTTTGGGACTGACCAGCTGTGGGACCAGGTGGGACAGAAACCTCTGTCATCAAACACCCCAGTGACACACCTCCTAGTCCTTCCTTAACAGTTCCACCAACTGGGGACATTCAGACATATGAGCCTATGGGGGTCATTCTCATTCGGATCACCACAGTCGGGAAAGTGACCCACTTCCTTTAGCAAAGATCCACCTCCTAAAGGTTCTGTGGCCTTTAAATACAGTGACACCAGTTGGGGACCAAAAGTGATTGGATTCAGGAGTCTATAGGGGTATTTCACACTCAACCACACATTGCCCTTTATTACCCTCATAGACTTAACTTCAGCAGGACCTACATGGGTTAAATTAGACAAAAATTATGATATGTGGAGACAGCAATGATAGTAGGTAGAAAACACAGAGCGTTTATCATACACCAGACAACCACTGCTACATATTCACCATTAACATCCCTACTACACTGACGAGAAAACTGAGGGACAGATTGTTTCTGGTTCTTACCCTGCTATTAATCACTTGAAACCACTTTTTCTGAGTTGTCATCATTGAAATTGCCAAGGCTTGACCCAAAAGCGTTCATGCTAGGCAAGGTTCTACTGCTGAGCCACACCCCAGCCGAGGCCACTCTAGATATTTGTTTCCCCTACGGAGGACCGAGGGAGTTTTTTTTATACCCTTATGACTCTGGGGATGATCTCAACAAGATAAGTTCCTATCATCAGCCACCATAAAGCCCAAATCATGATTCTGGAAACAAAACTGCCAAATGTAATTGATCACGTTGTACCTCAGACCACTTCATTTAATTACATGAGTGTACAATCCACAACCAAATAATTAATATTTCACCCACATGAAAATGAAATTTTTGACATGAACATAAATTGTTAACTATGAACTTAGAAATTTGTCATTATTCTCATGCTTCCTGGAATACAATTTTGAAGTCTCAGAAAAATCTCCCATAGAAAACCCTGGTCCTGACCACAGGCATGGCCTTTGGTCAATCTACAGAGGTACAGATGACCCTAAGTCAAGCACGCTCCTGGGTTAGCTTCTTCTTATTAGCATTACTATATTTTAGTTATTTCTGTGCATGTACGGAGTGGGTGAGTGTGTGACCTCACGAAGAGACCAAAGGACAGCCTATAGGAGTTAATTCTCTCTCCACCAAGTGGGTCCCAGGGATTGAACTCAGGTCCTCAGCCTACAGGAGGTAATTCTCTCTCCACCAAGTGGGTCCCAGGGATTGAACTCGGTTCTTCAGCCTACAGGAGGTAATTCTCTCCCCACCAAGCAGGTCCCAGGGATTGAACTCGGTCCTCAGTCTACAGGAGGTAATTCTCTCCCCACCAAGTGGGTCCCAGGGATTGAACTCAGGTCCTCAGCCTACAGGAGGTAATTCTCTCTCCACCAACTAGGGTCCTCAGGTTTATCGGCAGGCACATCTACCTTCTGAGGCATCTCACTGGCTCCCGACATTAGCTTCTTAATTTCTGTAAAAGAATGGTAGTCCTGTTTCTTCTCTTTAGATGATTTTTAAATATGCAGATATATTCTTAATGTATTATATAAGACAATTGCATGCAGGCAGGCCCTCCTCATAGAAAGCAACCTTGAAGACACTTGTTTTTAAGAGTGCATCTTACACTGTAGCCCAGATCATCTTGTAATTCACTATATATCCCAGGATGGCTCTAGATCCTTGGCACTCCTGCGTGGCCTCCTGCGTGGCCTCCTGCGTGGCCTCCTGTATGTGCCACTACAGCTGGCAATTTTCAGCTGTGTTTTTTTTCACGAACCACCACGCTGCTCTGCACAGCAGCCACACTATTCCCAGTTTCCGACAGAATGCCCGAACACCCAGATTTCCCCACATCCTCACCAGCACTTGTGGTTGGCAACAGTCACTCTGATGGGAATGAAGCAGGGTCACCAGGGGTTAGTATCTGCACTTTCCTTTTCTTCCCCACAAATTATACTTAACATTTGTGGGTGATTTCCCTGCATATATGTCTGTGGACAGGTGCGTGCCTGGTGCCTAGAGAGAACAAGTGTCTGCAGGGCACTCGGCCACACGCAGCACCTCTCTCACACCTCTGCACAGAACTTGGGCAATCACTGAAGGAGCCCGAGGCCAGTGAAGACTGAATGGAAAGTGTCCTGAACATGACAGGAGCCCACAGCAGCTGCCAGCGATGCATAAGTCGGGCATGCCCGTGCACCTCTGTCGTCCCAGCACTCAGGAGG